GGCCGACAAATGGTCATCCAGTGCCAGCCGCGAATCCAGGAGGACTCCCAAGTTGCGCGCCCTCTCCGAGGGGGCCAAAGTTTCGCCCCCTATAGTCAGCGATGGTGTCAGCTGACTATGCCGAGGCGCTGGCAACCACAGCCACTCGGTCTTGGAAGGGTTGAGCCTGAGTCTGTTCCTCCCCATCCAGACCCGTACTTTAAATGCAGGGCTTAAGAAAGCACTGAATAATTTGTAGATCTTTTTTTGAAGCTGTTGGCAGGATCAGCCTTTGAAACAGCAACATTCAGAATATTGTTTTCAGATGTCAGTGCATCTCTCTTTCAAAAGCTGAGTCATCACGTTGTTCTAATGGGTTTTCTCTCCCTTTTCTGCACAGAACAAAGGCGTTGGTCTTAGAACTGCTGGCAGCTGTTTGCCTAGTACGAGGAGGGCACGAAATCATTTTGTCTGCCTTTGACAATTTTAAAGAGGTAAATCATTCAGTTGTGACAGAAGGAGCTGCCTGCTTTGCCCAACTTCTCTAGATAAAGGTCTGTGGAAACTTTGTGGTTGACTTCTGCCTCTGAAACAGCTGGTTGTTCATGTTGGACATATGGACATCTTACTCCTCTTTGCAACACTCAGTTTAAGCACAGTCCCCCAGAAAAAAAACATCCTGATTAAAGTGAGGCTACTGTGCTTCATAATGCACATTTGTTTATAGAAATGTTTATATTCTACCACATGAATCAAAGCTGAAGTCACTCACATCAACTGATTTTTCCTCCATACGCCAGTTCTTGATCAATCTTCTCTCCTTCTTTCACCCCTCTTTTGACTCACTATGCTTACTGCAACCAACATGAAAAGACCATTTCAGAAGGGAAATATATTTTCCAGTATTTGGCTTTGTTTTTCCATTCATTTTAAATACTGAGATTAAATTATTCAGCACTGCTGAGTAGAAACAGATGAATACGTCATTATTATGAATATTGTCTAATTTCCGTTTCAGGGCTAGAATCCTAATCTGCCACTTCTACGCTTATTTACTTTTAAGATAATCTAGATGATTGGTGCAAAAACCATGGAAAAACTTAGATAGATGACCACAGTGTGTACCCAAATCATGATTTTGTTTTTGTGGAATCATTTTATATAGAAATTCCAAATTAAGGACTTATTATTCTGCAACTTCACTGTACTGTTTATGGGGAACTAAGTGGCAGAACAAATGATGCTAAGGAAAACAAAATCAGAAAGATCTTTAAAAATGAAATTAAAGAGCAGATCGATAGTTGCTCAACAATGAAATGCTGGCCTCCATATTCATAAAATATTAAGGAAGTATTTTGGCCAGCCAATGTGTTCAACTTACAGCTGTCAGAGTTCCTAGCCAGCTGTGTGACTGACCTTCTGAAAGGCTGTCAACTGGGGAATCTCACTGTTTCTTGAGAGAACACAGGTAGTCCTCAAGTTATGATAGGTCATTTAGTGACCATTTGGAATTATGGCCAACCTGAAACAGGGGCCCGATTCTGAAATCCTGATGGTCAGGCCCCCTCTGTAGTCACATGACTGAACTTCGGGCACTTAGTAACAGGGCTGCGTTTATAGCTGTCTGCAGCATCCTGTGGTCATGTGACCACATTCTACAACATTTTTGCCCAAAACTATCCTTTTTGGGATTTGGGCAAGACCACCATGTTTGCTTAATGACTACCACATTCAACTGTAATAGGCAGACTTCGTTATGGTCCTATGTCAAGGACTGCCTGTAAGCAGTAATGAATAAAATTAATGCAAATGCTATTATTTCTTCTTTCTTACTATACTGGGCAATATTCAATAATTGCACTGTCCCGATAGCAAGGTAGGAATAGAATGCTGGAGGATCATTTCCCCAGTATTTTTTCAGTTTTAAATGCTGGAAAATTATCATATTGATGAACCAGAAGAAAAAGGAGTTTCTCAAAAAGAAGACATCTGGCTGTCCCTACAAATGATTAAGAAGAACTTTACATTTATTGCAGAAAAAAAAGCTGGCTCAGAAAAGCATCTAAATATATTGTCCCTGAAAAAAAGTTGACTATTTTGTATCTATTGATAATTTTTCTCCCCAGTCACAGATTTAATGCACTGCATTTATTACCCACCAATATCGTTGTCCATAGAGTGTCAAAAGAAAAGGGAAGGCCTTTACTTTATTAGAAAGATAAATGAAGACCTATTCACTTTTATTTATGAACAGCTGAATAGGCAGGAAGTCAAGCAGACATTTGGAACTGGTTCCAGTGGTTTAATCTAATTTAATCCTCCCTTTAAAACATCCTGGGATAAATAAATTACAAAAAGATTGCAGTTATCTTAAATATTGTGACATGAGTTCATAATCAACCCTGCTGAAACTTCACAATAAGTTATATTCTTTTTTCTTTTCTGAAGGTCTAGGCTTATATGAGTTCAATTTTGAATTTTTTTTAAAATTATAAAACTACTCTTATTCCAGTGGTAAAACTCTTTAGTGAATATGATATCCAATCCCATGTAATATTGCTAACCGCAACATTATTGTACATTATTTAATTCAGAAATTTAAACTTAATTATTTTTTAAATAAAATATCATTAATAAAATTATTTCTCCCTGATAGAAACCTCCCCCCCCAAAAAAAACCCCTTATGACCTCTACTCAAAGGTGCTGTAATATGTTGGGTACAACTCTGCCATCAGTGGTTAACACAAATACACCTGTGTGTAGCCAGTGATTCCCTTTTTTTTTTCAAATTAGGACCATCAGTAATCCACCCCATGGTGGTTTTATAAACAAATAATAAACATGTTTTAATTTGTTTTTTTTTTAAAAAAAATGTTCTAAATAAAAGACCAAAGTATATTTAAGCTAACCAGAAAGGTAGAAAGGTTGAGAGTTATAAAACAGTTGACAACCAATTCAAACTGCCTGCCCTTCACAAAACAGGCAAGTATTTTTCCACTCCTCAGCTGACGCAAAGTAAAGAATGGAGAACAGTTTTGCTGTTATTATATATAAAAACATTTCCTGGAATTTTTTGTGTTACAACTTGCACTTTCTTCCTGATAAATCCTGTTAATCAGAACTCTTGGATTTTTGTTCCTTGAGTTGTTTCCAGTCCTGAACACAAGGAGCAAAGACTGATTACTTACTAAAGTTGATGTAAAATAAGCTATGGTACTCCTGTATCTTCTAGTTAACGCCAGATTAAAATATTGTTTGTTCTATATTTGATTAACTTAATTGTAACTGATGATTCCTAGCTTCATGATTGAGGAATCTGTGATCAAGCATAAGCCAATTAATTCGCCTCTGTAGATAAGTATAATGCAGGGGTAGTCAACCTTGGCTCTTTTATGACTCGTGGACTTCAACTCCCAGAATTCCTGAGCCAGCTAAGCTGGCTCAGGAATTCTGGGAATTGAAGTCCACGAGTCATAAAAGTGCCAAGGTTGACTACCCCTGGTATAATGTATGAAGACAGTCATTGAGTTAGCTATCAGTTAAGAGCATTTTAGTATATTATTTCATATAAACAGCTCCGTTTAGCTTCATTATCAACTTTTGATTTTTGAAAATTCGGGCCATTATGTCTGACATAAAAGTAAAAAACGTTCAAAGATATAAATTAGATAAGATTGTTTCACATGAAGTGGACTTTTTCTGTCTTTCATGGCATTGTGGTGCCCACCAACCCACTTTATTTATCTTCAGATAAGATTAAGATAAGAGGTTGCCATTCTCAATATACCTGCTTGGAAGAAAATTACCCTGAAATTGTCAGAGGTTACCCAGACATCATTAACCTCATGGAGCACCAGAATGTTGAATCCGTGATAAGAAGCTTCTGAAGATCAGTCCCTTGACAGATGGATTCTAGCTCTTAGTTTTTCCTTCTTGCTTCTTTCTAAGCACATAAGAGGATATTCCTGAATCTGGGATCGATACAGAGATGAATAGAGATTCAAATTATGTAGTGTAACTCAGGAGAAGAATTTACAGCCAACAACTTTTATCTTTGTTGATCATTAAGTGTAGCTATTTAATTTTAGGATTTAGAACCAATACAGAAGACTGTGAGCTGATCCCTAAAGCTGTAATCTGTAAATGATATGGCCAATTTATTTTTTTTAAAAAATCAATTAAAACAGAAAATGTTTTCAGCCTAGTACTCTTTGCTTAAGCAGAAATGTCAAGAAAATTGGACTTTTGTTGCCTCATGTCAGGAGTTCATGGCAATCTGCAAGAAACATTCTCTTGAAACAGCCCACCCCTGGAGTGGAATTGGCAGATTACACCAGACCATTGTTTTAAAAATAAAAAGGGATCATTGTGGCATCACCATATAGAAGAGCAAAGAAAGAAAGAAAGAAAATATTTAGGACAGTGCCGTATTAATGTTTAAATAAGCAATTTAACAATGGATCATTTTCACAGTTGTTTTGCAACTTTTTCATATGTTGATTTTTCTCAGGATTTCTTCACCATCTTCAGGTTAGTAATAGCTAGGGAAGCAGATTTGAGCATGGCTACCCATTTGATTGAAATTGTGTACTGGTCTCTTATTTCTTTATGTGACATACATGTTCAAAGTATTTCAAACTGCAGGATCAGATTGCCACATTCACACAAAATCTCATTTCATATCATTCAGCAGACTTAATGATCACAATTGTTTTTCTCAAGTATAAAAGCAATTTATACCAGATATTATTACTCCCTTTGTTATTTTTGACAGCTGCATGTTTGCCTATATCTCTTGTGAAAAAGAATTTATTGAAAATATTATGTGCCATATTTAAATAGGGAATTATAATTCTGTTTTCATTAACATTCCAGTTCCAAACACACTTATTGAAATAGATGTGTTTTGCTCCCAATTTAGATGTGTTTACATTCATGTCAAAATAGATAAAGCTAAACAAACAAACAAACTGAAGGAAGGGAAATGTCGTGTTTTAGGTTGCAGTTCAGTCTGATCTGAATAATAATTTCTAGAAGTTGTACTACATATGATAATCCAATTTATTTTGGGACAAATAAATTATTTCATGCTTAATTCTGGAGTCTAATAAGAACAGCAAGTAACCTATGCCTGGAAACTTGATTTTATTGAAGAAATGGGCAATTTTCTTGTTTCTTCTATTTCATTCAGCAACTGATGAAATAATACATTTGTTAAAGCCAGGGTTGAGAATGGCTTCTTAAGTACCTATAGTTAAACTCTAAAATAAAAATCTAATCTCTAAATCTCTAAAAAAAACCCTCTAAAAATTAATCAGGGGAAGTCAACAACATCAGAATAGAAAGGTCCAACTGGGCAATCCAAAAACCTCAAAAGAGGTAATGGATGAGACATACAAGAGACATATAATGGCATGAGGTTCAGTTGTCTGGTCACACCCACCATTTTGATAGCATTGGCTGCTACTGTCCCCCCCCCCAATTCTCTTTATTGTAAGTCAGGGGTCTTCAAACTTGGCCCTTTTATGACTTGTGGGCTTCAACTCCCAGAATTCCTCAGCCAGCGTGCCTGGCTGAGGAATTCTGGGAGTTGAAGTCCACAAGTCATAAAAGGGCCAAGTTTGAAGACCCCTGTTGTAAGTAGTTGAAGATGGGACACCAAAGCTTCTCATCTCTTCCATATGGCAAGGGAGTGGATACAGTGTATCAGTCTGGAAACTCATTTTGGGATGCAAAACTTATTGTATATGTGAACAGCTGCTTTCTGTCTATGCATGTGAATGTACCATGTATAGAGTTGTTTGCTTGCCTGGTTTTTATTTCTTAAAAACATAACAAGGAGTGCACAAAAGTGGCCCATTAGATTGAAGGGTGCTATTGTTATTGGATTATTTTCCTGTTTTTTTGTCTTGTATACGTGCTTGTCAGAAACAGTATGATTGGAGCAGCATCTAAATTGGAGTAAGTAAATAAATACTGGTTTCTAAAAGGGTTTCACACCATATACACTTGAGAATGTTTTGACAACGTTTTCCATTTGGGATGTTTAAAAAACCATTGGTCTGAAATAGCATTTTTAGATGATAACTCCTTATATTCTCTTATAACATGGTCAACAACTGCAAATTATATTTTGTTGCTCACTTTGACTTATGGTTAATCCAAATAAATGTGCATTTACGTAAAGAATATTACTAATTTTGAAGGAGGAGTATGTGAATTGAAGCCTTTTTCTTTTGCTACTGGACTGTAATCTGCTGCTGCTGATGATGATTATGTCCATTTAGTTATGTCTGACTCTTGGTGATTCTATGAGCCAGGTCCCTCTGCATCTTCTGATCTTGCTCTACTTCACTGAGTTTTTTAATGCTCTGGCTGGTGTCAACTTTGATGGTGTCCAGCCACCATGTTCTTTGGCAGCCTGGTTTCCCTTTTACCACTAACTTTTCCTAGCCTTAATGAATGAACCAATTGCCAATATCTATTTGTCCAGGACAACATTCCTTCTAATTCTGTATATTTCTATGTTAAAATGGTTTGATAAATGTTATAGCATGCTTCCTGGTAGACACATACATAATAGAACCACTCTGCAATTTCTTCCCAGGTTTGTGGGGAAAAGCAGCGGTTTGAGAAGTTGATGGAACATTTTCGAAATGAAGATAATAATATAGATTTCATGGTAGGTGTGTGCATATATTTCATTTACAAATGTGTAACTTCTCCCTCAGCTTTCATATTCTGTGCCATATTCCCACCCCACCCCCAGGTAATCAGGTTCACTTTTGGAGTGAGAGGGACACAATTCTAATGTGCAATTGGATTTTAATGCAACTTATGAACTCTGCTAACAATGCAGCCATGACAAAATAGGCCTATTAGGATTAGTAGTAGTAGTAGTAGTAGTAGTAGTAGTAGTAGTAGTAGTAGTAGTAGTAGAAGAAGAAGAACATTTGGAGTAGAAGAATGAAAATGAATGCTCTGTCACACTTCAAGAAGTATTAAGCATGTGAATATTTGTCTTTCTTCAACCAAGCATCCAGCCAACCTTTTCTAAACAAAGAAGCTAAGCAGTATCATAGTGCTAATACTTGGAGAGGAGACCTCAAGGGAACAGCAGGATTGTAAGCTAGATTGGGGAAAAAACCATCCTAGAATAATATTGCTGCAAGGAAAAATTACATAAACAAGTCCATGAAGTCACCAGGAGTAAAAAAATCAACTTGAAGGAAACTTGACATACTCTTAGTGTTGGATTAAACTTCAGAACTTATTCAGTGGTCTGCTGGGATGTTCCCTTGCCTTCCTTTGTAATAGTAGGTGGAAAATCGGGAACAAAGAAATCTAAGTAGTTACACTACTCCCAACAATATAGTGCCTAAAATAGGAGAAGAAGAAAAACCCTGGCATTCTTTAGAGCAGCACATTATGATGTTATTTACAACGTAAAGACATGCCTTAAACTACTATTGAGATATATTTTTACAACATATAGAAGAATAAGGAAATTGGTATCTTGGGTTTAAGTTGGCATTTGCATCTTTTTGATTGATTTATCAAGTTCATTTCCCTTTCTTGCTGTGATTAAATGCAATGGTTTTGTGGAAGGTGTAATTGGGAATTAATGGCACCTGCTTGGATAGATTTTATGACAGTTGCCATCTATACTAAATTCACATGTAGGTATGAGACAAACATACTGTATCTCAGGAGGATAGGAAACTTTGTATGATGATCTCCTGCGTCCACTTTCATTATGTAACCATTTTGGTTTCGAATTTTTGCTGGGTGTTCTTTCATATTACAGAAACATGAGCAATTAGGGTGATATGTCAGGGAAATGATCTCTTTAAACTGTGTTTAGCCAGACATGAATCCTGGACAGCTCTTTTCATGATACAAAGAACAGAAGGAAGTTTTGAAGAGACCCAGCTGTTCTTGTCAAGCCAGTGATCTGGGAGTGCTTTTAAAACATTCCAGATACTTCGCTTCAGTAGGCAACAGCTCCTGCTCCTTACTGAGGTGTATGATTAGTGTGGAAATCTGGATTTGACGCCCTCAGAGTAGCTACTTACTTGATCAAGATGGTTCTTTCTTGCTACACTGGTTTGTATCAAGTCAGGTTTCAGATTTGCAGCCAGAGCTTGCAAAGTGAAATGGGAACTTTGTTGATAGGAAATTTAAAGATCTGTCATTGCCTAAGTGCATCAAGAAAAGAAATATCCTGACTTATAGAAACTTTTAAATTATTCTGTCATACCCCATTCCCATTCTTCTCTACAGTTGTACTATAGTTAAGATAAATAGAAAAAAGTTTCTTCAGTGATTTTTTTACCTCAGGGCCGTGCTTCTTGATTTTGTTTTGGGCACTGCTTAATTGAATATATTTAGGTCAAAGCTCCTGAGGTTTAAAACTTTGAATTATTCCTGTGAGTATTATAGTTATCATTTGTTCATTGTTACTGCAGAATTATAAAACACACACAGTATTTCACTTGTACTTGGTAAAATGCAAAGATTAATGAACATTAAGAAGGTTGTTGCAGTTCTGTACTCACTTACTGGGAGAACATTCTGTTGAATACATCTCCATGGGACATCTTGAATTGGTTTGATTAGCTTTTGCTCAGGAATCCACTTTCCCACTTGGAATTCGAGCCGTATGGTAATTCCAACTGGAAGAGCACAATATCATTTGGAAAGCCTATGAATTGTGCATAGCAGTTTTCAAGAATCCCTTAAACCAAACAAGTCTTTTTATGGGATCAGGTAGCTTGGAATCTGGATCCTGGCACAGCCTAGATAAATATAATTTCTGCAAAGATTCTTAAACTGTATTTGTATAATTTTGCTTCTCTTTGTCTTTGCCTAACTCTTAGATGTAATCTTGGAACTGTGGTAAGATCCAAGAAATACATAGGACAGCTTTCCATGACCATTATTTTCTCTTGTAGGTGGCGTGCATGCAGTTCATCAACATAGTAGTACACTCAGTAGAAGATATGAATTTCAGAGTTCATCTCCAGTATGAATTTACAAAGCTAGGCCTTGATGAATATCTGGATGTAAGTACACTCTGCTTTGGATTATCAGTGTCTTCTAGCAATGGGGTCTGTTATGAAATGTGAGACTATTGAAGTGTTGCACTTGGATCTGATCATAAAGAAAAATAATTGCCATTTCCCTTATTTAAAAGAACCACAGGGAGCTTTTGGTTTTTACATTATTATTATTATTTTCAGCAGTTGCCAAGTATTGACCATTTTTAAAGGCAATATTGTTACAAAAATAATCCAATAAATAGACAAATCTAAAATTACATACCCCACTTTCCTGTTCTTACAAAGGGTGGAAGATGGAGCTTTAAATAGTAGTTTAAGTTTTTGCATTAGCTTTCCTCTGCAGGATGAACCTTTGTGCAGAATTATACCTTATATTTTATCAGTTGCTTGTTTAAGCAACCTTTTTTCAAGAAACATTGCTGTTAAAAAGCAGTTACAACAGTGGACAGGCTACATGATTTCTCCTTCTGCAAAAATCATCATCATGGAGTCCTTATTTTTTGCTGCTCCTTGCTCATTAATGCCGTGATACCTCTTCATGTCCTATTGATCACTCATCTGGATAACTGGTGCTCTTTTTCATGTGTTGAATGATCAGTGTTTTTATTTTATCTATGAACTTGCAAGTGGGTCTATGCATTTTATAAGGAAGTGACTCACCACCCGTTTACAGTGCCAAGAAAAGTGAATGAAACCATACGTTGTGCACACATGTGTTGTAGGGAACTTCCTATTATGTGCATCTCCTCTTCACTGATTGCTGCTGATACAGTTGGCTACATTTCAAATGTATTAGTAGTTCCTCATGCTTCTTCTGCTGATTCTTTTTTTCAGAAAGAAGTGTTAGAACATGCTCAGTCATTGTCATCTGAGCATTTTACTCATTGTTTTCCCTGTCGTTGATATCTGATAACTGCCTTCTTAGCAGCTGTGATTTAGAGGCAATCATAATAGCAGTAGTATAGGCAAATACAATATGGATGTCACTGAGAAACTATAGTCAAGAGGCACACATAACTTCAGAAGTTCATTCATTCATTTGAAAGCCCCCCTAATAGAACATAAGTAGAATATATTGATCTTTCTCATTATGTCCTTCATCATTCCTCTCCCCACATCACTTCCCTCATATAATTCTATATTTTTTATTACAGTCTTTTACAACCTGGTGCTGTCCATATTTGCTGGCCCTAACTTCTAAAATGAAATCTTCTGATAGTACATATGTCATGGTTCCAACAGATGAAACTCTTCAAAAGAACTTCGAGGCATTGTTTACCTAAAGAATCTTTTATTTGAGTAGCATAATATCAGCACTACATAATCGAAGCCAAAAACTGAATTCCCCTCCCCTGGGCACATAGTATCAAAGCATAATTCCCTCCTCCAATTAACAGTCAGAAATCACATTCCCCAATTAGTTTGAAGCCGTGCCAATTCTTTATCAACTCTGGGCTCAATAACCTTGATTCTCACACTAAGTTTAGTGTTGTTATGTCTAGCTAGACTCTCATTCACATCTCTCCCCCCCCTCCCAGCATCATCTAAGTCTAAAAGCGAAAGGGAAAAAGATGGCTACATTTTCATCTGTTGTCAATGCAAAACATCCGATGTTAGCAGCGTTGACAACATACTTTGGCATTCCAGTTGGGAATTTCAAGAGTTGGACCCCTGCACGTGTAAGGAGCATCAGCTGATAATGGCTAACCAGGGTTTCAAATGAGGTTATTCTGCCGTCCTAGTACATGCTGCTAATTAATATCTGGGACCCTCTCTAGAAAAAGTATGTGTTGTACTTCTGAACTGCAGCCTAGAGAGTGATTGGCAAATCCTTCTTTTTGTTTCTTTAAAGAATGTGGATTTTGATTTGGATCTCCTAGTTATACCTACATGGTTTCAAGTGAATGATTCATAACAGAACGCTTGCATAGTTTATCTGAACATTTCATTTGGAGAATTATTTTGGCACAGTAAACTATCCTAAGGCAGGATAGCTGACCTTTGATTTTCAGCCATGGCTTGTGAATGATTAAGATAGCCCGTTCACAATGTAAAGTGTACAGTCCAAAGGGGAAAATATTCCATCATGTAATATTATGTGATTCATACTATTAGTTATTTCTTTTTTCATCTTGCCAGAAACAGGATTTGAGAAACTGGGTTCAGAGGAACAGTATTATAGAGCACATAGCCATGTAAGCTGCCTTCAGATCTTGGAGAAACAGCAGGATACATATCCAACAAATAAATAAAATTGTTGTGCAAGAAACTTAAGCTGATGTAAAACTTTGGCAGAATAGAGGCCTATCTAGAAGACTCCATGGTAATCTGTGTTCACGATGGTCTCTGTGCCCCATATATTAGATGTTTCTCTACACTTCTATAGTTCTCTTTGAGACAATCTGTAGCTGAACTATACATTGTGAACTTCTCCCCCAAATATTAAAGCACTCCTGTTTTTTCTTTCTTTCTTTCTTCTGAAAAGTGGCTGAAAGAATGTTCCTACTTCCTTTTCCCCCTCCTGGATATTTGCTTCAGTCAACCTGTTTCTCGTGAAGTAGTATTGTCTGCTGTTCTTCCTTTTGTTATGCATTTCATTAAAATGAGCTGCTTCTATATATACGTCTTTGGAATTTCAAGAATTTTATTTGGCTGCAGTAATTCCATAGAGTGATAGTACAGTCTTATTTATGCCCTGCTCACCTATGGAGACCAGTTTTGTTGGTAGGAGCTTTGGCAGTTCTATAAACCATCTGACAAATCATCAGAAATTTCTGATTATCAGGATTTTTCCTTGCTGAAAGAGATTTGCTTTTCAGAGTCCTTTGCTTTATTTATTTGGTGTTTCTTTGAGACTTTTTCAAGTCCAGTTTTTGTGGTTCTAGCTTAATATTTATGCTTTAGATATCTGCATTTTTTCTGTCTTCTGTCAATTGGGTCATTGGCACTATTGAACTCAAGGATATAACTATCTTCTCTGTCTGTGAATTTGGGACAATCTTGCCTTCCCAGATCACTTCAATGTGGAGGCATGCTCTTAGATTCAGCGCAGGCTCCAACATTCCTTCTTCAGGACAAGACTGTTGAGGCCATGGCATTATCTCAAGTAATTTGGGCACATCTCTAGATATTGCCATGTCCAGCTGAAAATACCACTCAGTAGCCCCTAGGCTACATGACAATCATGGCAGAGTATGCTTGTATATAGTGAAGTCCTGCTTGCAGCATTGCTTTTCTTTGGCTTTCTGGCTCCTTTTTAGTCTGGAGGAATGCAAATAGCCACCCCAAATACAGTCTAAGATGATGGGGTCAACCTACAATCTAAGCTAATGTTTTCCTTTTCCCAAATTACTCTGTATGAATACATCTGTCTAGTGAACCTTTTAGAGACTGAGTGCCCCAAAACCACCCTGCCCGGCCCCCTGCTCCACCCTCCGCCCCGCCTGCCCATAGGGCCACCCACTGCCTCCACGGCCCACAGCAGCAGATCGCCTAGGTGGCCCACCAGTGCCATGGTGGCCACGCCCTCCGCCCACACCCCGCAGTATCATCTGCGCATGATGGGCTGCGAGGGTGTAGTCTTGTCCTCACTGCCCGGCTGCCATGTCCTTGGCTGCGCTGCTTCACGCAGGCCGCACCCGGGGGTGACTCTCCTCCGGGGAGGCTGCTGGTGAGGAGGGGACTGCAGGGGGAGGCAAGGCTGGGGTGATGGCGCACGTGCCTGCAGAGAGGGCTCTGAGTGCCACCACTGTTCTAGGGTGGGGAGCTGACTTTCCCAAGAACACGGTCATAGATATGCCTCAGGGCATCAACATACTTTCTTCTGATGCAAAGATTCAGGCAGTCATCAACTATAACATAGTATGTTTCTCTGAATGTATACAAAATCCTAGATGATTATGTCCACTATTATGCATATCTGAGATCCAATAAAAAAGGATATTTGTAGCTCAGGTTTGAAATGAGTGGTCCTTAGTGCTTTTTGATCTTGGCTGTTTTCCTGCAGACATTTCATTACCCAAACTAGGTAACATCATCAGTGCTATAGTAGTAATGGGAGTGCTTTGGAGCATGCCCACTGAAGAAAGAGCTTCCTCTACTTTGTGTATCCATTAGAAACAGTTCAGCTGTAAATGTGCTACTTAGGCTTGGGCAGGCATACAAGAACATCCTAACATGGGAATGCAGATTTGCAGATAAGCAAATTGTTTTTACCCTCTTTCCTCTCCTTACCATGGAATTATATTTCTAGAATAACTGGAAATCTGACAGCAGATTAAATCAAAACTGTAAGCTAGTCTGCCAGTGAGCAAAGGAAACCCAATAAATTTTCAGATTCACATCTTGTTTTAAAATAAATAAACAAACAAACTTGTGACAGATTATTTATGGTGCTTCTGGCATTACTTATTTTTTGGGATTGGTCAAACATTATATTAGAAGACAAGTTGGGTAGAACTAAAACTTTTCTTCATTTTCTTCCTACTACTTCCCACATATCTCCCAGGTTTGCTCCAAAGGATCCTTTGGAGGGGCAACAGAAAATTGTAAGCAGATGCACAATTGGATACAACTCAAAGTTTTTCTCTCATATCTGTTAGGAATTAGCTGATAATGACCACATTTAAGCTTTTATATCCTGTTTCTCCATCCAAAATGGGTCTTATATTTCCTATCCTCTTGTATCAGTTCATAGGAGCTTGTAGCATGAAACAAAAACCTAAAGTTTTTGTTGCTTAAGAGGTCAGCTGCTCTTGTGTTTTGCCTTTTTTGTGATATAAAACTATCAGAAGTGCTGCCACCTACTATGACAAGAATATTTATGTTATATAGTATCTTCCTTCTGATGCTAAGTTCCTGCATGAGAACTTTTTTGTTATCTTTAAAAAACAGCAGATCTAATAGAAAGCTAAAAGTGCAAGAAAGGGAAAAAAATAAAAGAAAAATAGTAGAGGCAGAAAAAATATAATGAAATGGCTTTTGATTTTCTTTACAATATTTATAATTATAATTATAATTTTATTTCTTACTCTATGGTTACATCGTAATTCTCTCTATAATCCATCTTGTCTAATCATCAAAACTATAAATCATAAATTCATTTTTTTGTTTTATGCAGAAAGTCCATAAGGAGTTTCCAGTCATTAATAAATATAGATATTGTTGTTCTCTGATCAAAGAGGTCAATTTGGCCATCTCACCAAGTTCCATCCTCTTCACCAACTCTTCCGCCATTGGGGATTGTGTCCAATCTTTTCATCTTTGTGCATACAGTAATCTTGCTGCAGTTATGTACAAGAACAATGTTCCATGATTTTTCCCCCAACTGTTTGTCCATCAGTTCCCAAAAAAACCCCTCTAAATCAGTATGTGTATTTGAATGCAAAACGTTTTAGATTTTTTTTACACATCTGCCAAAAATATTCCTTCGTGTGGTTCATATTTCCAGCATAAATTCTAAGTGTATATATACATTGTAGACAATACCTCTGGTGACATATACCAACAGTACAACATTTTATATTAAAAAAATCTCTATAAGATTCTTAAATAGTTCTTTCAATCACATATTTTCCCACTGTTCTACCTATATATTATAACTAAACATTTTAGCCCACTTTATTATACATTCTTTCAGTTGTTCTTCTGTTTCAGATTTCAGTAAAAGTTAATGCATTTTCATCATTTGTACACAATTTTATTTCAGTTAAAATGTTAAAAACCATAGAATTTTTGTCTACTTAAAATCTTTTTAATAATTATAAATAACAGAGCTATTGACAATTACAGTATATCCCTTGGCCACCAGTTCTTCTCTTGATTTTATGTTATATTCCCCTTGGCAAAATTCTAGCATCCCACTATAAGTTAGCCATTGTATTTGCCTATTAGATCTCTTCTATAAAATGCTTCTTATACAGAGAACCAAAAGCACCCCCTGGCTTTCCTTCCTTCCTTCCTTCCTTCCTTCCTTCCTTCCTTCCTTCCTTCCTTCCTTCCTTCCTTCCTTTCTTTCTTCCTTCCTTCCTTCCTTCCTTCCTTCCTTCCTTCCTTCCTTCCTTCCTGTCTTGCCTAGAATAAGTTTTTTGCTTCAGACAATACCTGTTTTGAAACTAAAACACCATTTAAACAGAAGGATATTATCTAAATTTGTGTAGCAGGGGAAAAACCATGATTTATCTATCTGCCTGTCCTTCCATCCATTCATCCATCCATATAAAACTCATGGTTTTTCTCTTGCTACACAAATTTAGATAATATCCTTCTGTTTAAATGGTGTTTTAGTTTCAAAACAGGTATTGTCTGAAGCAAAAAACTTATTCTAGGTAAGACATTTATTTTTATCATAGAAATTTTCCCAGCAATGACAGTAGTTTCTCTCACCATGCCTTTTTAAAACTCCATTCCATGTCTTATCATAATTGCTTTGAAATAAAATACAGTTTGTATTTTCATTGTTAAATCCAGGTATTTTACCTTCTTCTCAATCTTAAGAACCATTTTATTCATCAATTCTATTTGATCTTCTGTTTTCATGTTTTCATACCAACTTATTTTAATTTGGCCATTAATATTTCAGTTCCCTTTAAGGGATCTTGCAGAACCAATACCAAATCATCTGCAAAAGCCCATCACTCAAAAGTTTCATTTTAAACCTTTTCTCTCACCTTTTCTTTCATCTTGTTCTTGTGTCTCTATTCAGTATATGAAGAACAAAAATAAACTATTGGGGAGAAGTGGGCATCCCTGTCTTTTCCTTTTTGTATTTCATAGGATGTTGTTAAATCTCCAGTAACGATTATTGGTGCTTTCTCTGAAGTATAGGTCAATCTTACACATTTTATAAAATTCTTCAAAATTCACATCTTCCAAAACCTTGATGTTCTCTGTAAATATAGTGCCTTGAATTCTAGGAGATTAATGTGTTTCTATACCTCTGGGCAGGAATCCGGATATCTGAATTATTGCTAGAAGAAAAAGGACTCAACTTTCAATGCCCACCCCTTTTTAAATGGACCTTTGGAGATGTCTCTCAATTTAATATACAAATGCTAGTCAATATTCAGTTTGCAGCCTAGAGTTATTAGGATAGCATGGGATAGAAATTCCATAGTAAGTAAATAAATACATTTGATTAATTCCATCAGCATATGGCAAAGTTGAAAAGCTGAATGGTGCCAGGTTCATTTGGTAGTGTTTTTTTTTAAATTCATTGATTATTTTGCTGTTGACCTTCTAGAAGCTGAAACACACAGAAAGTGATAAGCTGCAAGTGCAAATACAGGCTTACCTGGATAATGTCTTTGATGTGGGAGCTTTGCTTGAAGATGCTGAGACCAAGAATGCTGCCTTAGAAAGAGTTGAAGAATTGGAAGAAAATATATCTCATGTTAGTAACAGTTCTAATCCTTTGAAAATATTTATTATGGAGATGCATGAAAAATGATGTAGATTATTTTCATTTGGGAAAATGTTTAGGGGTGTGTGTGTGTGTGTGTGTATGTGTATGTGTGTGTGTGTGTTTGTATGATAGAGATGGCTGGCTGCTATTTCACTCAGACCCTGGGTCTTTGTGGCCAGTGTGAAAGCAGGACTAGATAGATCTTTGATTCAGCATGTCTTTTATGTTCTTACGATGGTGGAATGGAGAAGGGGAAATATTTGGACATTCCTCATTTTCCCATCCTGCAATTTTACAGATTTTAATACTTCAATATTACCCATTAAATTTTAATATCACCCATTAAAATCTGTTTCATATATTATATAAACTCTTCTTTTCTTACTAGGACAATGATTCAAATAGCTCTGGTGAATTGAGTTTTACAATCTCAGGTGCAATCACTTGGAAGAATAATTGAACCGTCAAAGCTGTTTTCATGTGACTTGCTTCCTTCCATTCTCCACTAATTGAATATAAATCCATGGTTGTAGAGAACATACTCAACTATTTTATAGTTTAAAAGTAGGCACACAAGTAACACAGCATGGTTTTCACATGTGACTTTTTTCAGTGATAGAGATTACATTTTGAACTTTATTATTTGGTCTTGTGGAGACTAAAGTTGAAGGGCAAAGCATGTGTGTGTACGTGTGCACATGCACACACACACACACATACATACACACATACATACATATATGTGTATGTGCTCAGCACATTGCTGAAGCGTAACAGTTATGTAAATCTAATTCTAATCTAAATCTAATTCTATTCCAGCAAAATGAACCAAACCAATATGCATGCAGTGATACACACCAAGAAGCCACAGTAAACATTTGCTTCTCCTTGCCTCAAAGCTGTTACTGATTCCAAACAAGGCAGGATGCAGAAGCCAGCTTCAAACCACAGCTTCCTATCCTGGCTTAGTTCCAAACAATTGGCTATACATTATTTATTTAGGTATAGAATTAATCTATGGCTGGGTCTTCTTCAGTTTGTGTCTGCAGCTGTCCAAAGAGTGAGAAAAATGGCAATAAAGGGACTGCACTGACATCACAGAATGGATCCATGGAAAATTAAATGGAGTCCCTATAGTCTGTAGTATAATCAAAGAAAATCAATTTCTGTAGTAAAGTTACATATTTTGCTCCCTTCATAGTGTCCCCCTTATTACAGAATAAATGTAGCTAAAATGTAGCCCACAATTACTTTGAGACGGGGTAAAGAAAGGATCTCTGCAGACCAAGAAGGGAATTAGCTATTCTTCCAAAACAAATGGAAACTTTCCACAAACAGGAGATCTATTTTCCTAATAAATGTATCTGCATCCTCATGCATAATGTACCTGTAGGACCTAGTAAATTTTTGGATCTTTTTTTTTAAAAAATTTGATCAAAATATTTAGTCTCAAATGCGCTGCCCACAAAAGATAACCAGGAATTATTATAAGAACATAGGAAGATATGTTGTATCAGATCAAACTACGAGTCATTCAGCCTTCCAGTGACTTTCAGGCAGGAAAAGGTTGTCTGTTATTTCTTACTACTTGAATCAAGCTGGGTTCATTGTTAGTCTTACCAACTAATCACTCGTTTTAATAATATCTAGTTATCAGAAAAACTTCAAGACACGGAAAATGAAGCTATGGCAAAAATTGTGGAACTGGAAAAGCAACTTATGCAGAGAAATAAAGAACTGGATGTTGTTCGAGTAAGTTTTCTAAAAGTTCAGATGTTAATGTTCGATAGGTTCTCCAACTTTGCTTCTAGGTGTATTTTTGCATCTCCAATTGCTTATAGTTGAACATTACTGTACTTGCATTCTATAGGAGCTGTGTATTTCCAAGTCATGTGCTTATTGTGCCATTAAAATCTAAATCTCTTTATTCCTTTATCTAAGCACATCTATCTGCCATTTTGCAATAGCTGATATGTAGATATGTCTGTGCCTTGCTGCATGATGGTAATTTTTAATTCCAAGGAATATATCTTTTTTTGATGTTTCTCAGCTTATTAGCAACACGTTCCCCTTTGATTCAGCCACTTTGACTCAGTATGAGGTTCTATTTTCAAAACAGGAAGCATTAAATTTAGAGTTCTCATAAATCCCTTTGGGTCTCAGCTCTGGGATATTGTCCACTGCATTTGCTTGTTTTCCGGATTCTAGATGGATACGTTTAATTAAATACAGAACATATTCAAATGCTTCTCATTTGTGTGTAGCCATATTTAAAAAAAATGGGAGAAGAGGGGAAAATCATAGAACCAGCAGAAGGGCGGGTAGTTTCCTTTGATTCACTTAGCTAAACTAGTTTGTCAGGGGAATTACTTGTATTTACCTCAGATGAATATGGCCTTCATTAACTTATATAGAAAGAAAACCATCATTACAATAGGTTCCCAGGTAAATGAGTTTATTGGAAATCCCATGTTTTCTTTTGACACTGCTCTGTCTTCCAAATGAAACGAATTCTTTTTTTCTGGGGGTTCCTTCACAGGAAATATACAAAGACGCAAATACACAAGTTCACACTCTAAGAAAAATGGTCAAAGAAAAGGAAGAAGCCATTCAGCGGCAGTCAACACTGGAGAAGAAGATTCATGAACTGGAAAAGCAAGGGTCCATTAAAATTCAGAAGAAAGGAGATGGTGATATCAACATCCTTCCTGTCGGGGTGTCGCCAGCAGGATCAGAAGGTTCCATTGGCATTGGTGGGGGTCCTCCAGCCAATACGGGGTCTTCCGGGCCACTTCCACCTCTGGCATTGATAGCAGCAGAATCAGAAACGGGTAAAAAGAGCTGACTCAGAATTGAATTTGTTTCTTTATTTAGAGAATCTATATGGCCACCCACTCAATTTCAGTGACTCTGGGCGGCCTACAAAAAATAAAAAACCCAATATACAAAGAGTAAACACAACAACCCTCCACCTTGCTGGCAACAACAAGCAATCAAACAAACAAGCCACTCAGTGCTCCATCCCACTCTGGGTTCACCCCAGGCCCTTTGGCAAAATCAGGTCTTCAGTTACCTTGTGAAAGAGTGTCAAAGTGGGGGCCAATCTAATCTCTGCAGGGATGATGTTCCAAATGGAGGGAGCCACCACGGGGAAGGGTCTTCTTCTGGGCTCCGCCAGATGTGCCTCCTTAGGGAAGGGGAGCTGAATAGAATTTTCCCAACGTAACATCATGATGGTTGGTTCATTAAACAAAATTTAATGACTTCCCACGTTCTTAGCACGCTAGCAGTTTTGAAGCATTCTCAGCATGCTAGCCTCTTTGAAGAAAATAGCTACATTAAGTGTACCATGTTCCCTGGCTGTTACTTCCAAGTAATTTCTTCAAACCTTTAAGGTCCACTTTCAAGCAACTATCCTTAAGGAGGAGCTCTGACTGAGTTTAGACTGCCCTGGACTGCATTCACAGCTTATCGTACAGCAGCAACTATGATATTTCTTTCTTGCCACTATATAGACAATGCATTATCTAGAAATAGTATTAAAGAGAAGAGAAGAGGTGTACTTGACCTGAAATGATTGCTATATTCTTTAGATGATCTGTATTAGGGTTTCTTTGCACAGATAGTACAGGTCAAATCCATAGGTGTTCCTTTCATGTAGTTCTTCTTTCTGAAGATAAACTGTAAGCCAAATTTATAAGTGGTGTCAATCTGAATGGGTTAGTCAAGACTGGTAACATTAGATCTGAGGAGGTTTAGCTTAGAAAGATACTGCGATCAATGGTATCAAAGGCCACTGATTGATCAAAAAGAAATTCCTGCCCATGCCAGGAATCATCTGAAAACAAGACCAATGATGTTTCCATCCCATACCCAAGCCTGAATGTTGACCAAAAGGGGTCCAGATAATCTACTTCATCCAGAGGACTCCGAAGCTCCTGCATGGCCATCTTCTCAAACACCTTTCCCCGAAAGGGGAAGTTAGATGCTATGTGGAAATTTCCAGCATGGTGGGATTCAGCGAAGTCTCTTGAGGTAGAGGTGAACCATTGTTTCCCATTCAGTGAAATACGTAATGAAACGTTTACAAATGCTGTGTATATTTTTCATTTCACAGTGCAAAATGGTCCCATGGCAGCACCAATGCCTCCTCCGCCGCCGCCCCCGCCGCCCCCACCACCTCCTCCTCCTCCCCCACCACCTCCTCTTCCTGGTCCAGCTGCAGAACCAGTCCCAGCTCCTCCTATCCCACCTCCACCATTAGCACCCCCACTTCCAGGAATGGCCTCTCCTACCGTTGTGTTCAACTCAGGATTAGCAGGTAAGAAGCAGCAGAAAGCGTGACATGTCAGCAAGGTTTTGAGGCTGACGATGCAATCTCGTAGGGAAAGATATAGAGTCTAAACTAGGCGTGTCTAACCAGTGGCCCTTGACAGCTACTAATGTGATCCAACAACATCTAAAGTGTTTTAACATGATTTTCTGCATTTATATTCTTTAACTATATTGTATATTTTATTTGTGACCCAAGACAATTCCTCTTCACTCAGTGTGGCCCAGGCAAGCCAAGAGGTCGAACACGCCTGCTCTAAACCAAACTAAACCAAACCAAACCAAACACTGCTCCAAAGAAATTATGAATCTCCCTTTTCTCTCCTGTATATCACAAGCCAGTCTTCTGTGCCACGTTGTCATGCAAATGGCTGCATATGAAGTAAGGCGGAAATGGAGAAAAACTACATGTGAACTCTCACATGTAGCGTAGTTCTCAAAAACTTTAATGCACCAGAAGAAAAAGTCTTATTCTAGTTCTGTCGGCCCAAACTGGAAAAACATGCTCACATATAGCTATTAAGCTTAAGCAGGAGGGGTTTTTTTGTTGAATGCCCTAATACAGTTCCATTTTACAAAATTTCAGAACTTATCTACAAAGGCTATTTTTCCTGATGACTATATAAGAACGTTGCCCAATCAGCATTCCAGGCTCAGTTTCAGAGTACATAAATATTTCTAAACTTTATTAACATTTCAGAGGCTTTTCTGGTATTTGTGATAATGCAAACAAGTTATATTGTTGAATTGTCCTACCTGATTCAGGCTAGATAAATGTTGTCTTTCCCTTGTCTTTTCTCACTTTGTCTTCTTAAGGAATGTTAAGAGAGGGAGGGGGAGAAGGAGAAGGGGGTACAGTGTTGTAGTGAACTTGCAAACTTCCCATTTCCCCCCATTGCTGCTTCTATTATTTATTTCAACAACAAAATCTATTACTGAGAAAAAGACAGATTATCTGTGGAGCATGTTTGGTTTGAGAAGGCTATCTATCCAATTTCCATTTTCTCTTCAGTATTACTACAAAAATGTAATGGATGCTTACTATATGATGATACAATACAACTGCTTACATATTGATGATACAATAGATGAAGGATATGCTAATTCCCCTAACAGAAATTTAGTCCTCTAAAAGAAAATTGTGCCGGCATTGATAGAATCAGCCGGATAATATTTACATTTAGAGGTTACTAACTTATACCAAATGCTTCTAAGCTATGCACTTCAAAAACGATGCTGTTTGTGAATGGAGATGATCAAATGAATAAATATAGATTGTACTGTATAGATTGGTGCCATGAAAGAATTACATTGAGAAAACTTTGGTATCCTTTCCTAATATATTTTGAAAATAGACAAATGGTTCTTACCATTTAATAGTTCTGTCTGTGCCATTTTCCTCCTCGGACAGAACTATTAAAAGGTAAGAATCATTTGTCTAATTTTCCTCTTAAGGAAAATTAAAAGTCGCAGTAGGACCCAGTTCTTCTTTTCTTTTTTCTTTTCTTTTCTTTTCTTTTTTTTTTTTAGACATGCAACCCACGTGTTTTAGTTTTTAGAATTTTGTGATATTCTTAACTTGAAAACATGTGGGTGCCTCTCTTCCAATGGGAAATTAATTTGGCTCCACTGGAACTTCAGCTAGCCAAATATATGTTCTTTTAATAAAGTGCTTTCTCTTGAATTTTATCCAACATCTATACTTGTTCAGCTTCTGACAGCATATGTGCATTTGGCAATAGACATTCAGTTCCAGGTTCTGAAAAAACATCTTACTGTCTGGGCAATTCTATTCACCCTATTCCAGTCTCTTCCCCCCTCCCCCCCGCCCCCCAACTTGCAGCCATTGACTTGGTTTAATCGTTAGTCACAGTCCTCCCTTTAAATCTGATGACCAGTCATCCTGCCAAAGTATTGTCTTGCCATAATTAATACCGTTTCTTTGTGTCCCGTGTGACTTGGAAGAGACTGAAGTGTAACTCAGATTGGCCCGTTGAAATCTATTCAGTCCCCGGGGCAAAAGCTCGTTGATACGAAAAGAGGTGCAAGAAATTAATAAATGTCGCTGCCTCTTTTTGGTATAGATGGAAGGCTTGTGTTTTGTATTTTTGAATACAAAACACAAAATACAATATTTTGAACTTTATTCAAAATATTTGAGTCTTCTGTTTTCTAAGGCCCCTTGCACAAAAGAGAGTTGTTTAGATATTGGTAGAAAGACCGGTTCAATTCAGCTTAATTGCTGTTATACTGTATTATTTAAGCTAAATATTTTTAACAGCTAAATTGCCAAAGGGAAAAAAAAAGTGGATGGATGTCTTGTGTTGCTTGATGCCTGCTTAGGTGACATCAGAAGAAGATTCTTGAGAGGCCTCATGCATCATTGAGTGTCGCGGTAACATATTAAAATACCGTGATGCAAGAAAATACACTTTGCCCTAAACATGAGTGGATGGGTAAGGTACCCCCCCCCCCCAAAGTTACTTTAACTCCCATTAAACTCTGGCCAGATGGCTGTTAGTCAAAAATGATGGACTTGGTATATCGGTATCAGGAGCTGATTCCCTTTCTTTGCCTTACAGGTGAAGGTAGATTAAATAAACACACACGTACACAGATTTACACACACACACACACACATACACATCCCTACACACCTTTAGCAGCCATTTCTGAGCCACTTTTGTGGTATTACGAAAATCCATACAGATGCAGCTCTTTTCCCAGGTTTGTAATTGTTAATTGGGTGTAATACATACTTTAATTTATGTTTTTTATTTTTTATATTTTGTTTTATGATTTGCTTGTAGTCCTGTTAGCCGGATTACAAGACAGGGAAAAATTAAATAACAACGAATAAAGTTGTAGAAAAATAGTAATACATGGAAAAAGTCCTTTCAGTGTTTTGTTTAAATTAAAAAAAAATTAAATGTCCTGTAATTTTAATCACCGCTAACCTTTTTTTCTTCTTCTTTATTCCCTTTGCTTCACTTTAAGATGGGCCAATCAAGCTTTTCTGTAGGTTCCTACTTGTTAAGTACTTTACCTTGTTTTCTAATATCTCTCTTTTCTGTCCTGTTGTGCTTTGCACGTGCGTGTGTGTGTAGTGTACATGCACGGACATATGTTGGCGTTATGGGTGTGCTCCGTTTCAGATAAAAAGCCGAAAAGGCGGTCGGTTGGGGCATGCTGTATTGTTCCTGTCAGCATCTCCTTATAAAAGCAGGGTTTTCCCGCTGGGCTTACACTGTGGCTGTGTAGTTCTGAAAAAAAACAAAACCCATATCTTGAGTTAAGGGTCACTCAGCGGTGCATTAACACATTCACTCCAAAGCACTTTTTTGTCACACCCTTAAGGTGCCTCCTTAGGTCTAATGTGCATTTACATATAGCTACAGAGGAAGCCCATGAAAACAGGCTGTTTCTTTGAGGAGGTGGCAAACGGAGCAGGCCTTCTGAAGTAATTTTTTAGCTTCAGATCTGAAATGCAGCAACCTTTGTGGGTATGCGTGTGGTTTTGCTATTATTTATTTTAAAAAAAACATCGTAGTTGAGGTTTTTTTGTCTTATGTAAAAGCATGACGTAAAATTTTACATTACATAAAATATTATCCGTATTGTAAACTTTATAAAGTCATTATCTTCATGCTGTCTTGTGAGCAAAACATGTATATTTTCTTAGTGAAACAAACCATTCTTGCAGGTTGTTGGTTTTACTGGTGTCTTTAATTTATTTCGTTGTCTGCCCTCTATTGACATGATTGGTCTTGCATCTAATCCTGAGTTCCCCAACGGCAAGTGAGGATGTGCGTGTGTGCACACGCACTTACCCGTTTCCGTGGCCTGGTTGCAATCCCTTCACGGCCCACTAGTGGGCCATGATGCACAGGTTGGGGACCCCGGATCTAATCTACACATAAAATTTAATATTATACAACTGCTACTTATGTCAGAGGTCTATGGTGTAATAATATATACTAGAATTATGTATGCATTTACTATTCTATTATAAATAGAAATATTAATATCATGTTTTTATATAATGTTAAAATATTATGTACTAATATCAAGGATTTTTCTAAATTATTTTGCATATGCTCATAATATAATTATCTTGGTATTTGAAGATCCCAGAATGAGTCCTTGGCATCTCCACTTCAAATAAGTAGATTTTTTGTTAAGGAGCCATTGATATGAGGCAATCTATCTTATCTGGGTTAGCCATAGAGTACAGACTCATTCTCCTTCAGGCAAAGATACCTTCAAGAGGGGGTTGAGTTAATCTTAGGATAGGTGAGGAAAGAGCTGCCCTTAGTTGTTTCAGGTCTTACACACATCCCCAGAATGTTAAAAAGATTACATAGCTGTGTTCCACCATCCTCCCTTTGCTATTCTTGCTATCTCTGCATCATCCCCAGAAATGGTAAAGGTGTTCCTGAGTATCAAATTGGCCCTACCTGAGTTTAGATTTGTGTGTTTGTGTGATAAATCAGTATGAAGGGTGGTTAGAAGCGCTGAGACTGATACATGTTCTTTTACCATTTAAAATACAAAATCCTGGCTTGTTTAAATTTGGCAGCAATACTTTTTTCCTAATAGATGTGTCAAATTTCAGATACCATTTACATGGGTAGGATAATGTATGTAATTCTGAAGGTCCCCATTTCAAGGTTCATCTGAAAATATCTGGACTGGACATGTAAGTTCCTTCCTGTTTATAGAGATGGGAGGAATCCTACAATTACATTTCTATCTTTGCAAATGTGTGTCTTTAACACAATTAGTGTCATAATAGGCTTAACTCCTTATATGTCACATTTGCATAATGTGCTGCTCAATCATTGTAATTACATATCTGAGTCCCTAATCAGTCTGAAAATGTCAATCCCTAGATTGTGCCCTAGAAAACAAGTAATGTTTTATATGGGGCTTATTCTTAAAACACCGAGCAATCAGAGTTTACAGTTTCTAAACGCTTTGCGGCAGCCCTTAACTCTTCCTATCAATCTTAATTTAGCCAAGACTAAAAGCTTTAGATGCAATGTCTCTAACTTTTAAATAAATGGATTATAATTCTTCCTCAGACAGTGAGATTAATGTAATCTGCCCCCCCAAAAAAGGCATTGTATGTTTGGAGTTTTAATTTTAAGAATGCGAGCGGACTAAAATCACTTGGGCAGGAAGTCATGAAGTGTTATATAATACAATGCAGTGATTAAGCTATTTGTGCATTCCAATATGCAATCCTGTGCATAACTAATTAGAAGTGAGTTCTCTTGAATTTATCTGGATTTATTTTTAGGTAAAAGTGGGCATTGGATTGTGGTTCATGACAGCTAGTAGGAAAAAAGTATGCAATTATTTTTTTAAAATGTTTGTTGCCAAATTTTGATATGAATTACCATATCAGGAGACAGAGTTACTGACTTGAAATTTTTCTCCCTGCCTTTTTAAAAAAAAATTCAAGCGTGTCTGATCATTATGGATACTTAATTTATTTTTTTTTAATATTTAATAGATATTTTTCAGTGTTCAAATGCCACTCCCCGCTCCCCAGTAGTAGCTGTAATGGTCGAAGAGGTTTTTGATTAGGACTTCTGAAATGTGTAATTGCACTGTTATCTTCTTTTAAGCTGTGAAAATCAAGAAGCCAATTAAGACCAAGTTCCGCATGCCGGTATTTAACTGGGTAGCTCTGAAACCCAACCAGATTAATGGGACTGTCTTCAATGAAATTGACGATGAAAGGATCTTGGAGGTACGAGCCTTGAACATTGTGATTTTGAATATCTAGGGAAGATGGGCTCCAGGAGGATTGGAGGCAAAATTATTGCATCCTGTTGAAGTAGAATTTGATTTGCTATTGTACATTTTGTCATGTGCATTTAGCGGGTTTTAAATGTTTCATTGTTATCGAAAGAAAATACTCAATTTGAAGGACTGACTTTAAATTTATGTTCTTCTGTCTACATCTGCATCTTTCCCCCTATTTGTTTAGATACTTGGATGTTTTCCTTTTTGTTTAGTTAGAGTGAGGTTTGTTTCTAACTGAAGAAAACACTTGGAGCCAGCTTTTGTTTTTTTGCTTCAAAAGTCATCTTTGTCTTCTGTGATGCAGAAGTGTGACCTAAATTCACATGACGGGTGATAAGTGTATATGATGAGGATTTGAGAGTCTTGGTGTTTTTACTTTGAGTTGCACAGATGTTAGTGTAATTCGACCCCTTTTGCTCTTCACAGATGAATTTTATAAGATTCGTTTTTCCAGGTTGTCCTTTCTTAAAAAAAAAAGTCTCTTTTAGGATTTAAACGTGGATGAATTTGAAGAAATATTCAAGACAAAAGCCCAAGGGCCAGCCATCGACCTTTCTTCAAGCAAGCAAATAACTCAGAAAGGATCAAACAAAGTCACGCTTCTGGAGGCAAATAGAGCTAAAAACCTTGCTATCACCTTAAGAAAAGCTGGAAAGACTGCCGATGAAATATGTAAAGCTATTCAAGCGTAAGTGAAAAGATTTTATATGCAATTTTAAATATATGAACTGCCAAGCAGTATTTGTGCAACTAGAATAGATCGAAAAAGACGGTTGGCTTGTTTTATATTCCATAGGTTAGTGGCTGTCGCTCGGGTTTTTTACACTAAAGCTCTAAGTCTGTGCACATTGTTTTTGGATTCAGCTCCTTAAATTCCTTGGGATACACTTAAGTGTTAAGCTACACGGAGCTAATATACACACGTCACAAAAAGATGAAGAAAACTGTCCTGTTCTACTACAATATTCAATTGGTATTTTTTTGTTTTGAAGAACATCATATGGATTCATCTATAATACTTGTCATGCAAAATTTTCATTCTTAGCGGCAAGTTAAATACCATCTTGAAAGAAATATGGTAGCTATTAAGGAAATTAAAAGAGTGTAGTCCTTTGCATATTATTTGAATGTAGTCCAAGTATCTTGAACAAATGTACAATGGCGTTATGCATATGTAATTCATTATTACTGTGCATAGGTTGCATCTTCAAATGTTCTGCTAGCTCAGCTGGCTACCAATTAGTGATTAAATGGGCTATTATTGTACCTGAATGTCACTTGCAAATCATAGTTCAGCACAATGCTTATCTTAAGAGCCATTTATGAGGTTAGCTTACAGAATTACTTTTCAGTATTTCCAGGAAAGTGGAAGTTAGCCAGATCTTTTCCAAAAACCACTTCTATAGTCAAGCTTACCACATTCAAGTTTTATAAATATTTCAAAGGGGAATATTTGGGAAATGTGGTCCCCCACAATAACTTCAATAATTTGAAAAGTTTATAAAAACTCTGTGGTTATTTTGTCCCCTCAGGCAAAAATATTTAAAGATGTACTTCTATTGTTCATTTCATAGAACTTAGTGTATTGCGTTGCCTTTGTATTGTCAGATTTGATTTGAAGACTCTGCCGGTAGATTTTGTTGAATGCCTGATGAGATTCCTGCCAACGGAAAATGAAGTGAAAATGTTGCGGCTTTATGAGCGGGAAAGGAAGCCTTTTGAGAATCTGTCAGATGAGGATCGGTTTATGATGCAGTTCAGCAAAATAGAAAGGCTGATGCAGAAAATGACCATCATGGCATTCGTTGGCAACTTTACCGAAAGCATACAGATGCTCACACCGGTGAGTGAGATGTGGATCAGAGCTCTGTTTTACAAAGGGAAAGGATTACTACTTAATTCTGAGAGTTAGGCTTAGAGGTAATCCACGTTTAGTGACAATTGGGACCAGCATCAGTCATGAAGGGAAACGGACACTTAGTGAAACATCACAATTTTACAACCATATTTCAGCTTCTCTGGGCTTTACAGACCTGCGAAGTTTGCAAGTGCAAGGACTCCTCACATAATTACATTTTTTTAATAACCGTTGTAATCGTGAACGGTCAGTGCGTGATGCAGTTGCTAAACGAGAACTACTTATACCAGTGGTGGTGAACCTATGGCACGCGTGCCAGAGGCGGCACTCGGAGCCCTGTCTGTGGGCACATGCGCCATTGCCCCAACCCCGCCTCCTCCGCAGCCCCCTCCTCACCAGCAGCCCTCCCGGAGGAGAGTCTTCCCCAGGCACGGCCGTGCGGAGCAGCGCAGCCAAGGACATGGCAGCTGGGCAGCAGGGACAAGATTCCGCCCTTGTGCCCCGTCGTGTGCAGATGATGCTGCGGGGTGAGGGCATAGGGCGTGGCTGCCATGGCACTGCAAGGCCACCTGGACGATCTGCAGCGGGCCATGGAGGTGGTGAGGGGCCCTGCAGGTGGGCGGGGCAGGGGGCGGGATGGGGGGGCGGGACGGTTTTTGGGCACTCGGTCTCTAAAAGGTTTGCCATCACTGATTTATACAATGAAGCATTTGTTAACATTCATTTCTGAGCAGGTAATCTAGATTAGAATATCCTATTGGAGATGGTCTGGTGTTATTTCCTGCTTTCCTGCTCATCTCTATCCACTCTTAGCCACAAATATAGCTGTGACGAGACAATTGTGTTAGGTATCATTGCTTACATCGGGTATGTCAGATCCTGGGACATGTGATTATGTGTGCACGATGAACTGGGAAAACCAGCTATGCTTGCAAAGGTTGAGAGAAATAGATGGGGGAAACAATAGCTAAGGAACCTGGGATGGTTTGAAAAAGACTGCAGAGACTGTGCTTGGAAGAGCTACAGTCATTACTAGCAATATGTTGATACAGTAGACATTTTTCAGTGAAGTTATTATGCAGTCCAACTTAATTGCACCTAACTAATGGTTGCTTCATTGGATATGGTTTTGTGAGAAGTTCTACAGTATTTGTGTTGTGTGTTTCCTGGCCCCTTCTTTCTTGCTAAAATCTTGAAAGTTGGAGCAAGGATGGACACGAAGAAACATAAGGAAGAAAAAAAAAAAAGAAACACAAGGGATCTTGAACATTCTGCTTAACTCTACCTTGAAAAGTGGCTTACTTGAAATTCATTCCATCTTGTAGAAATGTACAAGTGTTCTATTTTAATTTGCACTTGCTGAGTTTTTAAAGATGTTCATCCCATTTCATGTTTTTGCCTTTAGCAATTACATGCAATCATTGCAGCCTCTGTCTCCATAAAGTCGTCTCAGAAACTCAAAAAAATCTTAGAGGTAAGTCTAATTCTTGCTGCTGTCTTTTGTGCTTTATAGTTGTGTGTAAACTCCCCTTTCGTTTCAATTGGCAAATTTCAACTTCAGCTGATCATTCTTTTTTTCCCCAATCTCTTACGATACCTATAGATAATCTTGGCTCTGGGCAACTATATGAACAGCAGTAAACGAGGGGCTGTCTATGGATTTAAACTTCAAAGTTTAGATCTGGTAAGTGGTGGCCTTTATTTACCTTCAAAAATCCCCATTCATTCATCCAGCTTATATCATAGGAGGGGGAAACTGACATCTGTCTAAAAGCCATTAGGAATGCTATCAGACTAAAGTCATTTACTTGCAAGTAAATGTGCCTGATATGGAGGTTGGATATCCTTTTCTGTATAAAAATTCTATAGAAAGGAATGGTAGAATTTAAAATGTTATCTTCGTCTTCTGGACATATTACAGATTCTTTTCAATTAAAAACCAAAAAATAACCATGTTCTAAGAAGATTATAACTAATAAGCAAATCATCCCTATAAGATTGGTTGGGCCATTCGTTAAAAGAGAACCAAAAATAAGAAGAACATCCTTGTATCTTTGGTATTTATTGTTCATTTTACTCATTGTTTGAATTTGTTCTGATTTTAATTTCCAAGAAATTTGAATGATGGCTATAATACAAGGGAACAAACCGCAACAAGCTCATTTTTGGTTACTCTGTCTGCATGCTGGCTTCCGTTTAAACTCAATTTCTTGTTTTGAAAATATTTCTAATATAAACATGTTTAATTGGACAATGTTTCAACCGATTAATTGAACAAAAAATTGTCAGAGCCTGCTTTCCTTAGTATTCTGTTCTGCCAAGAACAGGTAGACAATGACTCAACCGTATGTTAAGGTTTATTTATTTATTTAGCATATAGCATATCATACATGGACTAGCAATATATATTAGCATTACAATTGCTGGCAGCCAGACTATACTCTGTAGACTTTTCTGGCTTTCAAAATATGTTAAGGTAACTGAAAAGCTCATATAGAAAACTTTCAATAGTTGCAAAGGCAGTTGTAGGATGGAGTACAGAAGAATCCGCAAAGAGGAGTAATTACTTCCAATCAACCTTGGTTTTTTAAATGAGGTAAGTTCATGGGAGGAAGGTTCTCACTTATATCATCATCCTGGTTGGAATCTATAGTTGTCAGGAAAGTCCTCACTTCCCTGATTTTCTTCGACTGGCTTTGAAAAAAATGGTAGTTTGCTGCTGGAGAGAAGACGAGAACTTTCTTTCCCAGAAATCTGTGGTTTTATCTTAGAATCCAGTTAAAGTACAATGATTATTGTGTTCCTAACATTCCTCTCTTTCTTTTGTTTGCAGTTGTTAGATACAAAATCAACAGACAGAAAACAAACTCTATTGCACTATATATCCAATGTTGTAAGGGACAAATATCAGCAGGTTTCCCTTTTTTACAATGAACTTCACTATGTAGAGAAAGCGGCTGCAGGTAATCTGGCCATACGTTACTTATTAAGTGTGGAAAACAGTTTTAGATTTATTGTATGCCTCTCTTAATGCAGTGATAACTCACGAGAAGGGAGCCTCTGGGGGAAGCTATCAGCTTGGCAGCTACACAAGCTTGTAAAAGGCAAATGGACTCTTAAGAAGAAGGTTTGAGCATGGGAGACCACAAGAGTCATCCTGATTTTAAAACCGATTCCTTCTTTTCTTAGCAATCAGACCACCTTCCTAGTTTCACCGCGAGATCCATTTCTTCATAACATAGATGCACTTTCAGCAGATGCAGCCCTCTGCTTTAACCAGGCTCTGTGATCTACCAGCAATTAATCCCCCGCCTGGTCTTCATATCATCCTGATATATGTGTAACAGAATGGATTGTTTTTGGTTGCCTTTTATTCATGTTCATCTAAATTTGTTTTAAATCTGGAAAATCAACTGAGACGCCCTGCATATGTTAAAATGTAACAGTTCTGTCAGAAATTTAATCATTAAAAGTAATAATGTCGTTCTGATGGAGGACAACATTTGTAACTCAGGGTTAAAATGAGGGGTCCTTGGTGCTCTCTGGAGCTTGGTTGTTTTCTTGAAGATGTTTCATTACCCAAACTAGGTAACATCAGCAGTGCTAGACTAGTTTACCTAGTTTGGGTAATGACATGTTTGCAAGAAAACAGCCAAGCTCCAGAGAGCATCAAGGACCCCTAATAATGTCATTTATAAGAAATATAACATTTTATCTTCATATCAAATATTTTAATCTGCATCTACTCTTCAAAACTCGTTACGTGGGCCCTGCAGAGCAGTTCCAAAAGCCAATGCAGATCAACGAGATTTGTACACTCCTGATTTACAAACACTTTCCTTGGTAAATTGGCTGTGCTTTCTCATAATTCTGAATGTATGTCACTCCAACACCTAGAAAAGTCTGCCCCTATAAGAGCTTGTTTCATCAATGCTAGGTGAACATATTTGCTGTCACAATGCGTGAACAAAAAAGAAAATTACTAGGGCAGAAACTAAGGAAAAGTAGCATATTGCTGTTAAAGAGGCTCAGAAATATGCTTTGTATAAGCGGTTTCTGCTTTATAGGTGATTCCCACTGCCTTTTTTGTTTGTTTGTAATTTGTATATTACTTTGAATGCAGCTGATCCATTATTTTAGTAGTGATAATACTGTAGTATAACTTATATGTATAGTGCATCTCTCATGAAATTTACTTATCTTAAGCAGATAAAGTTTCATGTACTACTGCAGTGGGTTCTTAACCTTCACCGTGGGTCCTCTTTAAATATCTTTTGTGGCCTCGGAGGGTGGCTACGGACCCCCAAGACTTAGCTCAAGATTTAAATCATAACATTTTTTCCAAGCAGTCACACATCCATTGTGATGACATTATGCCCCCCCCCGGGGTCCTCAGACCACAGGTTGAGAACCATTGCCTTACTGCATACAATTCCTTACTGGATTTTGGTTTGGTCTAAATTAAAATCAGGCACTCTCTAATGTAACCCTATTGTATTTTTCTTCTCTTTTCAGTATCCCTTGAAAATGTCCTACTAGATGTAAAGGAACTCCAAAGAGGTCTGGACTTAACAAAGCGAGAGTACACTATGCACGATCACAATACCATGCTGAAGGAATTCATCCAGAGCAACGAAGGGAAACTGAAGAAGTTGCAGGATGATGCAAAAATAGCCCAGGTAGTCCATAGAGTTCATCTCTTGTTTAGATCTAGCTATCTAGATTCGAGAGCAAAGGAATCTTTCACCTGTTGAATCTGAAAATTGTCTCTTTAGTGCAGACAGAAGCACAAGTCATTTTCTAAGTGCAAGTGTGACATAGTAATTATGGTGCCTGACAAAGGAGTTCCCTCATGCCAGGTGACTGCAGGGTAGTCTTTCTGACTCAGTCTAAGCCTCATAGTTAGCAGGGCTTTTTTTTCTCATAGAACGCCCAGAACGGAGTTCCGGCACCTTTTTGGGATGGAACCTTGTAGGGTAGGCAAGGCGGGTTGTATGACGTGTGTGAATTCCGGCACCTTTTTTTTTTTTTACAAAAAAAGCACTGGCTGAGACTAATTATTACCAGTTTATATGAGGGTCTGGAGGAGAAAACAATGGATCAGAGAAAACAGTGGAGGTTTCCCTTAATCCCTCAGAACTTGAAAGGGAGTATTTGAAATGTGACACCTCCTAGAGCAGGGGTCCCCAACCACCGGGCTGCGGCCCACTATCGGGCCTTGAGCTTTTCAGAACTGGGTTGCAGAAGTAGCAGGTGAGTGTGCATGCGTATCCTCGTGAGCAGCGGGCGAGCACGTGCATGTGCACACTCTTCATTTGCGCAAGCAGTGGGCCCCTGTGCCCACCACTCAGGCAAATGGAGCTGCACATGAGGAACCATCCCCTCTTCCCCCCCCCCCCCCGGTCCAGTGCACAAAGCCGAAAAGCTTGGGGAACTCTGTCCTAGAGGAAAAGAAGGTAATAATTCGTCTCA